GGTAATTGACCGGTTAAAGTTATGTAGATTCGTTTCATGCCTTTAATTGAATTGTCATAACATGTTACCTTCATCATCATTAATCTATCCTTATGTGATTTACTTGACATTGTAAATACTTTTTTCATCTCTTACTTGTTCTTTTCCTTTACATGCTTAATTGAACTTATTGTTCTCTCATTTCCTTGTTAATTATTTAACTGTTGAGTTACCTTACTTGAAGTTGTTATTTCTTGTAATATCTTATTGTTGAATTATGGTGTTGAAGTTATAAAGGTCGTGATTTACATTGAGGTAATATTGTAAATTATTGAAATATCATTCTTGTTGAGATATTCACTTTTAGTTGTTATTGTTGAGACTCTTGTACATATTGTGGTTGAGCCATGGCTATTTATTGTGGAAACATTAATGTTGTTGACTTCTTTTGGCAAGTTGTTATTTTGGACACTTGAGGTGCGATTTGTGATATGTTGTGATATTGATACGCATGCGGTGGTATAAGGATTGAGGTTGATACACATACGGTGAGATAAAGTGGGCTTGATACGCATGTTGATAGTAGGAAAACTAATTGAAACCACGCGGTATGATAAAATGGGCTAAAATGCGGGTAGCTTTTTCGGAAAAATAATTTTCAAAACTAAATGCAAGGCTCCCGCAGTGGTATAAGAAAAGAGTGTGATTTGATTTGTGTAATGACACTACGAGGCGGTACCTCAATAGATATTCTTGTTGATACCTTTCATTTACATCACTTGTGTTCTGTCTTCATCGTTTCCTTGGCATTTTATTATGTGTTTCTTCTGTGATGTCTTAATTGCCTTTAATTTCAGTGTAACAATTCTCGTAATATTTCTTCATTGTATCATTTCCATTGTTTTCATTATTTTGTTGTATTATATCTATTCAGTTTCTTTATTTATTTCAGTAGGTGTCTTGACTTGACCTCGTAACTATTCTACCGAGGTTAGGCTTGATACTTACTGGGTACCGTTGTGGTGTACTCATACCACATTTTTGCACATCTTTTTATGCAGATTCAGGTACTTCATACCAGGCTAGGCACCCGTGAGTGAGCTTAGATCAGAGACTTCAAGGTATACATGCCGACGCTCGCAAGCCTCATATAGAGCCTCATATCTATCTTTTTTTATAGATACTGTTGTAGAGGGATGTTCAGTATACTCATATAGAGCTTATGACTCGGTATCACCAAATTTTGGGTGTTATGTTTAGTTGTGTTGCAGAGTCCTTTTTATGATAGCAAATGATTAAATTGAAAGTTTTATTACTATTTTCGTTAAATTCTTTACGTATGCTAGGCTTACCTAGTCTTAGAGATTAGGTGTCATCATGACATCCTACGAGGGATATTGGGGTCGTGACAGATATTTTGGCAACATTGCCTTCATGTGATTGTGAAGAGTCGAGGCCCTATGTAGAGCACCTAGTGAGTCAAAGGTTGATGAAATTTCTCGTGGGACTCAATGAGAGTTACAGTCAAGTGAGGAGTAATGTACTGCAGAAAAGGCCAATTCTGTTAGTGAATCAGGCTTATACAGTGGTTGTGCAGGAAGAAAGTCAAAGAGCATTATATCTTATAGAGTCAAACAAGGAAACCCTGACAATGCTGGCAGGAAGAGGACAAATGTTCAAAGGAAAAAAAATCAGGCTTGATTTGTGAACATTATAGTTATAAGGGCCATCTGATGGAGAATTGCTACAAAATTATAGGCCACCCTCCAAATTTCAAGAGTAAGAAGAAAGGGCAATTAGGAATATATAAACCTTTTGCTAACAATGCTAACACAGATGAATGTACTGATGTTAAAAACCATCAACATGGAAACTATCTCACAGAAGGACAGTATAAACATTTAGCGAGCTTGCTGGAGAAGTATTCCTTAGGAGAAAGGAACACAAACTCAATTGACAGAATCTTCAAACATGGCAGGTATTTTGTCCTTGTTGTCTAGTGTATCCAATATATGTGTATATGACTGGATAATAGACTCGGGGGTATCACATCACATAACCTTATGTAAGAATATTTTGAAATGTATCAGATGGATAGAGGGACAGAATAATTATGGAGTGCAAACTCCTACATGAGATAAGTCTAAAGTTACACATGCAGGAGATGCCGTAATCTTAGAGATGATACCGTAATCTTAGAGACACAGAAGATTAAGAATGTGTTACATGTGCCAAACTTTAAGTTCAACTTGCTTTTAATGTCCAAGTTGACTAGAGACATATGTTGTTTTATCTGTTTCTTCTCTGATTTTTGTGTCTTTCAAGGACTATACAGTGGAAAGGTACTCGGGATTGATAAAGAGAACATTGGTCTTTATATACTTAGTAGAGGAGATATTATTTCTGCTGTTTTATTTTACAAAGAAGGAGTGGCCACAATACTGTGGCATCAAAGGCTAGGACATGCTTCTACAAATGCTCTGCAACACTTACCAGAACTAAAGAATAAAGGAAGTCAGAGATGCAAAGAGACGGTCAAATTTTCCCTTTAGCTAAGCAAAGTAGATTAAAATTCCCTATTAGTAGCAATAGTTCATATTTTGTATTTCAATTGATACATGCTGATGTATGAGGTCCTTTAAAAGTAGGAACCTATGATAGAAAACACTACTTTGTTACCTTAGTGGATGACTTTAGCAGATATATTGGACTTGTTTGTTGAAATAAAAAAGTGAAGTATTTGTTGTGTGAAAGATTTTCTTTCTCTGATCAAAAATCAGTTTGGTGTTATGATCAGGACATTGAGAACAGATAATGGAACTAAATTTTTCAATACACAGTGCAATGAGTTGT